TGAAGTCATGTATGGTATATGGGGCCATTCCGACCCGTTTTAGTGGTAAAAACAGGGAGTTGATTTTTCCCCCATTGACTTATAATGGGGAGGTCGCGAAACTGACCTGACCTTAGGTCACCGATATCAAAATTCCGAGATATACAAATTGCACATACTGGTACCCTAACTAAAGCCTGAAGAGAAGAAATTGATCGGTCAAAAACTCTAGCTCTGGCGTGATTGCAAACTTTTCTGAGGTAGGGTCACCAAACCGCCTCTGGTGACCTGACCTGAGGTCAGATCAACTCAAAATTTTCAGACATGTTGCGTAGAAGCCTTTTAGGAAAAGTCAGAAAATTTGAGCTTCCTAGCTCAACGCGTTTGGGAGAAATAACCAAAAAACCTCAGGGGGGCTACTGAGGCCCCCCCCCCCCCGCCAGGAATAGGGTTAATACCTGGAGGGCTGTACCTACCCTACCATGAATGAATGGATTTTGCTGCCTTAAATGGGTACTTTGACTTTATTGTGTTTTAATTATTGTATTATTGTATTATTGTATATATCATTAAATAATTTATAGCCTAAGCGAACAATGCCTCAGTATTAACTGGATGGATGAGCACCCGATGTGCGGTCAGTTCGGGCCCGTTGGCTCCCCCTGGCTGAGCTGGCCGGTCGTGTATCAGCTGGGCGCGCTCGCCAGGTGGCGCGCGGGGACCGCCAGTGGACACACAAGATCGTAAGACAAAAGATCGTATGGAAAAAGATCGTAGGAAAATGATCGTAAGATAAAGATCGTATGTTGTAAAAGATCGTATGACAAAAAAATCGTAAGCAAAAGATCGTAAAGCAATTGATCGTATGAAAAAGGTCGCAGGAAAATGATCGTAAGACGAAGATCGTATGTTGCAAAAGATCGAACGACTAAAGATCGTAAGCAAATGATCGTAAAGCGAAGGATCCTATGAAAAACATCGTAGGAAAATTATCGTAAGATAAATATCGTATGTCGCAAAAGATCGTACGACAAAAGATCGTAAGCAAAAGTTCGTAAAGCAATGGATCGTATGAAAAAGATAGTAGGAAAATGATCGTAAGATAAAGATCGTATGTTGTAAAAGATCGTACGACAAAAGATCGTAACGTTAAGGTCGTAAAGTAAATAATCGTATAGAATAGTGTTGTAGGAAAATGATTAAGCATAAAGCCCGTTAGTCGTAAAATATTTACGAAAAACCGTCACGTGCGTGTGCTGCTGTGACCTGTGGGATGCCCCTGTTGTGGTGCTCAAGTCTTATTGGGGTGCTCAATCCAGCATTTGGGGTGCTGAAGCACCCCCAATGATATATAAATTCACCAATGCTTAGGTCACCTTATATAAAAAAGAAATATCCGAGATATAGAAACTACGAATACCCAACCTTCGGATATTTATGACGCCATGTTATCCACTAACTTCGAAAATGTTCATGCCCACAATTAGGTATATCAAGAAATTCACAATTATGAGTGTGACTACCATGGGCTTCGATGCTAGAGCATGGGTGTGGATTCTGAACACACGAAAAAGACATTGGGGCGTCACAGGCATAGGTGTGCCCCTCACGGCGGGGTGTGCCCCCTATGCCAAAGAGGACCCTCACATTTCACATGCTACCAAAAATATCGTACTATTTTTAGTGGGTTATTCATAATACATCGAAGGCATCGATAAATCAATAGCAATCCTGTAGAGTTTGTTTCAAGATTTCCATTTTACAATCGTGGTTTTGGAATATCGACAACATTTTAGGAGCAAAAGGTGGTGCCGCAACCTTTTGCTTTCCAGCTCCCACCGTCCCCCTCCGCTACCGGGCGCCGCGTGTGGAATTGCGAGGGACACCACAGGTCTAACAGAGGCACCACAGGCCTAGCAAGGGCACCATCAGCCTCGCAGGGACACATTGGGCCTGTTAGGTGCACCACGTGCCAGTCGGGGGCACCACAGTCCTGTTAGAGCCCAAGGGCACCAGCGGCCTAAAAGGGACACCACAGGCCTGCCAGGGGCACCACCACAGGCCTGTCAGGCACCACCATCCTCTCGTTGACACTTCAAGAGTTCAGGCTTGTCAGAAACACTATAGGCCTGCCAGAACCCATGTGCAAATAAAAAAAAACTGAAAATAGGGCAACACCTAAATGAAGTGGTCAAAACCGAAGTTCGAGGTCCGTTAAGTTTTTATGTTGGGTATAGGTGGGGGCACCACTTCGATTCATTACCCTCCCCTCGGAGTTATCCTGGATCCGCCCCTGTATTTACATGCGTGCGTGTGCACCTGGGGGCTTTGGGGTGCCCCTTTGGGGGTGCAGAAGCATTATTAGGGATGCAAAAATGATATACACATTACACAATACACATCCACATCCATGTGCTAGAGCCTCAAAGAAAGGAACAGGACAGCTGAGTCCTTTCTGTCAATGCGGAAATTTAAGCTTCAGCTATTACCCAACTATTACCCATCTAAGCGCTGAAATAACATCAATGTATGGTCGAGCTTACGACGGCCACTTACTAGTTACTACGCAAACACAGAAATTGATAAGCTTTGTATGCGCTGGAGTTGGGCTGCACCATGTGAAAACCATATTTTGACTGTACGATCTTTATCCCATACGATCATTTGGCGTACGATCATTTACCTCGACGATCTTTTGCTAATACGATCTTTCGTCCATACGAACATTCTACTGTACGATCTTTATCCCATACGATCTTTTGGCATACGATCATTTTCCTTGACGATCTTTTGCGAATACGATCTTTTGTCCATACGAGCATTATGTCGTACGATGTTTATACATTCGACTTTCTGGCATACGATCATTTTCCTTGACGATATTTAGCGAATACGATCTTGTGTCCATACGAGCTCGAGCATTATGTCGTACGATCTTTATCCATTACGATCTTTTGCGACGATCAACTTCCTACGATCTTCTGCCATAAGATCCTCTGCTTTACGATTTTTTGTCCGGTTACCACTCCGAGGGACCTGGTCACCTGCACTCGGACCGCGCTCCCCGCGCCACCTGCGGCGAAAGGCACGGCAGCAGCTGCCAAAGGCACGGCAGCAGCTGCCAAAGGCACGGCAGCAGCTGCCAAAGGCACGGCAGCAGCTGCGGGCCGACTGACGGACGTCGCTTGATATAAGCTATGCGTACAAAATATCCATTAAATTAGTAACGTCCAGGTGATATGCATGACTAGGAATAGCTTATAATTGCAAGGCCTTACTTACAATGTCGTACAATTTTAATATCTCTGGTCAAGTGGTGACCTCTGAGGCAGTAGCGGCGAAACACCTTCAATCAAGGGGGGGGGGGCACTGCCGCCTTTACCCGCGACCTGGTGGGGGGGCTATTTTTTGCCCCCCCCCCCCCCTTCCAGACTTTTCGATATATCTCCAGAACCGCTGGACCCCCAAAAATCAAAAAAAATAATTTTTTTGGATATAATAATAGAAAAATCCAAAAAGTTTTTTGATCTTCGCAAAAACCGGAATATATGTGATAGTCCTTACCACCTTCCATCCACATACCAAATTTGAGATTGATACCTCTTTTTTTGGCGAAGTTATAGCGAAAAAAACTGTTCAAAATTGATGACGTCAAATTTTCAAACTCAATTTTTAGCAATTTTAGACCCCGTAGCGCAAAACAAAGACCACCATTAGACTCCCCGTGACGAGCTGCATCGAATCAATACCCATTTTATGCAAAACTATCAACTTTAAAATTTGACCTTTTTTGGCCTGACCTTGACCTGACCTTGACCTGAACTTCACCAAAAAGTGACCTAAGCCGTACCTGATAGTCTTATAACCAACACCATTGAGTTGGAAATGAAAAATTGACCATAAAACATGCATCACACAACCTTAGTAAAGTTGGGCTCATGTGACCTGACCTGTTGTGACCCTTGGTGACCTGACCTGTGACCTGACCTGGTATTGTCAGTGACCTCTAATAGCAACATATCTACTAGGCAACTGACACCCTATCGCTGATTATCGACAAAATGCGTTTTCCTCGGTGTTATAGCGCATTCCCTAGCAGACCCGTGAACGGTGAAACATTTCATCTTTGACCTGACCTGTGACGTCATCGGTGACCCCGAGGTCAATGAAATTTGGTTTCCTTCAACAAATTTGACAGGCCTTTCGAACGCCGTTTGAATTTTGTGGATCCGTCCAGTAGTTTCGGAGATACGGGGGGGGGGGCAAAAAATAGCCCCCCCCCCCCACCAGGTCGCGTTATAAACAGACCCCACCAGGGCGCGGGTTAAAACGTTATAGGTCAATGACGTGACCTGACCTGAAAATTTTGTTAGTGTCAAAATGACACCTAGATCAACCGATCTTTAGCTGTACAAGTAAAGTGGTCTTGTTTCACACCATTCGGTTTGATAGCCAGTAGCGGCGGAACACCTTCAATTAAAGGGAGGGGGGGGGGGCACTGCCGACTTTTGGTCCCATTCTTTCCATGCAACACCCATAGGGCTAATGTTAAGATGCCAAAATCAAAGGGGGGCACGGTGCCCCGGTGCCCTCCCCGTTCCGCCGCCTATGTTGATAGCTCATCCTGAGCTCATTTCGTAGGGAAACTGACGCGCTAGTTGCATTTGATCAAATTTGTGCGTGACAAATATGTAGATAACATAAAGCAACGTCAGTGGTGTCCCACACTGTTCTACATGCAGTGCTTTCGTCATTTTCAGCAGATGATAGCATAGCTGCAATAGCAGCCAGGTATGTGTGTGCCGCGTTCAGAGGGTGGCCGCCCGCGCTGCGCTGCCGCGTGCCGATGCTGCCGGCCGGCGCGGCTTGGCGGCCGTGAGATACTGTCCGGCTCGTGAGATACTGAGATACTGTCCGGCTCGCACGTCTGTCCAGGTGCGCCGGCAAGACGAGTCTGCAAGGTCGCCCGGCCGGCCGACCCCGGCGCCGGCTCCAGCACAGTGAAAGGAGGACCGACCCATGGGGGCGCGCGGCGCCGCTCAGGGGGCGGGCTACACTGCCGGTCCGTCGCCAGTGACCAGCCGGCGGCGGCAGAGGCGACAGGGCCGCCAGGTGCTCCCAGGACAGCAGGGAGGACGGACAGCGAGGACCGCGGAGCTGTCCCCACAGCTCGGACTCGGGCGGTGAAGGTATGGGGACGGGTACTCTGGGTGGGGACGGAACACACGGAATGGGACGGGACGAGATACGGAAAGAGACGGGGCACGGGATATGGAGAGGATAGTTGAAGTGGGGCGGAGATGAGGAGCAGGGGACGGGATGCAAGGCATAAGAACGGTGTGACCAGGAGTAAGCTTGGAATAGGTAGTATTCTGTTGGCAGTGGTGAGGGAGCACTCCGACCAAGTTCGACCAGAGGCAAGCTCGGAGAAGCTGCAGTGCGCTAGCTGTGTGTAGCAGCGCACCTTGCATATATTTTGCGAGTCATTCATCACGCAGGACTCTCGAGGTGGACGGCGTTTACATAGAAACGGTGGCAGCTGCGCGGCCGAGGGCCGGGAGTGCGGCCACTTTCTGTCTGCCGGGCGTCTGTCACTGAGCCGAGCCACTCGGCTAGCACGGTACGACAGCTGCGCGGCACGGTGGACCGGCCGGCACCAGGGCCGGCACCGCGACGTGGGCACTCACCGACGCAGAAACTGCGCCGAACGAATAGCGAACGGCGTCGGTCCGCTGCACACTCGGGCCGACCATCGTCTGTTCCGCAACCCTCCGATAGCACACATCGATCCGGGGATCCGCTGGCCTGTCTAATGCGTCTGAGTGCACATTTATTGCCAAGTGAAATCGTCAACGTTTCTCTCGCTAAAAGCCAATTTAATGCCTAATTATGTGCCATTTATGGTCAGGACGATGCTACCAAATCGTTTAAAGTTAGCATGATAAATGATAAGGGTGGTTACTTGGCTATATGAGTAAAAAATATTTTTTATAAGCTTTCATAATTGGATCCTAAGGGTACCATCATCTTTATTGGCGCTGAAGAATGGAGTAACTAACACATACAACTGGGCACTGGCCACTGTGACTGTTTAATGAACCTATCGCCCATCGCCCATCGTCCCTCGTAACTACGCCACTCAGGGCTCAGGGCTCGCTTCATCGTTATGTCATTGCGTCGAGAATATGTCATGCTCACACACTTTAAAAAATGAAGACAAACAATACTATATATTTATATAATACCTTCATATGTTTGGTCATCAAAAGTTGTTTTTTTCTTTTTATATGTAGGTAAAGCAATAAGAGGACAAACAACTTTATAATTGTGCTTATTTTTAATCTTATTATTTTTATTTAGATAGATAGTAAGATATTTATTTAATATTTAAGTTAATTGTCGCTTTCAAAATCAGTGGGTTATCACACATTTGTCAGCCACACTAAAGTCCCTTATAAGTTTGATTGTCCTTGGTGCAGAAGATGAAGTGTCTACAGAGCTCGTCAAACTATAGCCGTGGCCTTGGCAGACCGCGTCTGGATCCGGCGCCCGTCAGCCGACGTGTCAGCAGTTGGCAGATATATAGCCGCCACTGTCTCGTGTTGACAGGTGCGGTCGAAAACAGCAGCTGCCAGTGCTATCGATTCTCTGTGGTACGACACAAGCCTACACAATTCGCGAGCTGCTTCATGGAATCCCAAAACCACAAAAGCATCAAACAGGACAGTGCAAAGGGGAGAGAGTCTTTTTTGTCATTCAGAGTTTTCACGGCCACCTTCAAAGACAATGAGAAACAAGGTTGTTTTTATTTTGTGTAGGCATACGAAGGAGGGCCCACACATGTGGCCGGTCAAAATAAGAGACTTCAAGTCCCAGGACGAGTTACCTCTCGGAGCTCAGATCAGCAAAGAGAATTGATTATTGACCATTGCATATAGGGTGGAACATTGCCTTCCCTAAATATAAGTACCTAATTAGATGCGCGTTTTTATCTATAAGAAACTGTCCAGACCTTGACCATGCAGCGATTGGTACCCGATTTTAAGGGGCTCCGGTTAACTGGTGGCCTCTAAGGTCAGGTCAAGTGGCCCAAGGTATGTGTTGTATTATGGTCCAACCCCCGCACGGCTGCTGGCCGCGCCTGCGCGCGCCCCTGCCGCCGCCACCGCTGGCCGCCCCGGCTCCGTGCCTGTGAGCGCCTCTGCCGCCGCCAGCTGACGGTGCGCGCCGAGCGGCATGACTGGCGCGGGCGACGAGGCGCGGCGCTCGCCATACTTGTTTCTCTTTTGGACACTCTTTCGGCCTGAACGTATCGCAGTATAATAAATCGCGTTTTCCATTGATTGTGTGCTCTTTCACTTGAAACGAACCAAAACATAACATGGCGCGGTCGGTTTTGTAATTACGTGACTGAGCAGCTTACAGCGCGATGAAGAAAATTTTGATTCAAGAACTGACGGCGCTGCTGGAGAGGCAGGCGGAGAGAGCCGCCGAGGCCGACAAGCGCCTGGAGCGTTTGGAGAGGCTGCTGTACAGAGAGCCCTCCGCGGGGACCGGGACGGGCACGACAGCCGGAGTGTCAGAGTCGGGGGCTGAGCGAGGCGCTGAGGGATCCGTTGGACCAGCTGCCGCCGCCCGCCGGACTGTCTGCCTGCCGGCGTCGGCGACTCCGGCCCCGCATCTGAAGTCAGCCTCGACGTGCAAAGCCCGTGTCGAGTGCAGTGTGCGCGACAGTGAGACAGGAGCGGTGAGCAGGCTGGAGGACTCTGAGCCGACGCTCAGACACGCCGTGACAGTGGGGGAAACGTGGAGTGCCCATGTCACGTGCCAAGACCTCTGCGGCACCAAGGGACATTTCGTGGCCCACCCGTCGGCCTACAAGAGGGACCGCAGTCGGCCGAGTGTCGCCCATGCCGCCGCCGCCACCAATCGTCAGTTTCTTGAGCGTTGCCCTACCTGTGGTCGTCGCCAGCACGCCGGCGGAGACATGTGTCGCGCCGCTGGCGCCATCTGTCGTGCGTGTGGCGAACCAGGACATTTTGAGGTGGTATGCCACCAGAGGGCGAGCACCACGGCCGATCGTCCAGTGGCGACATCTGCAGTGACGAGAGTACGAGACTCTCCGGGGGTGGCGCTAGTAGCGGTAGCCGCCGGCACCGCCGTGTCACCGCCGCCGGCGGACACGGGCCCAGCCGGGCACACTGCGCTGCAGCCCACGGAGCTGAGTGACGCTGCTGACGTCCACGGAGCCTCGCCGCCGCCGGCGGGGGGCTGGCCAACGCAGACAACGGACAGCAATGAAGCCCCGGACAACGCCGTGTCACCGCCGCCGGCGGACACGGGCCGAATCGGATGTGCTGCGGAGCAGCCCACAGAGCCGGACGGAGCTACGGGCGCCTACGGAGCCTCGCCGCCGCCGGCGGGAGGCATTCCAACGTGCAGCACGGACGGAGTGTACGGAGCCTCGCCGCCGCCGGCGGGAGGCCAATCGGTTGCCACCGGCGCCGCCGTGTCGGTGCCGCCGGCAGACACGGGCCGAGGAGCCGGCCGTACCGCGGCGCAGCCCACCGAGCCGGCTGGCGCGCGCGGAGCCTGCCCGCCGCCGGCGGGAGGCTGGCCAGCACAGACCATGGAGGCAGCCCCCGGCGTGTCACCGCCGCAGGCGGACACGGACCGAGCTGGATGTACCGCGGCGCAGCCTACAGAGCCGGCTGACGCCCACGGAGCTTCGCCGTCGCTGACGGGAAGCCTTCCCACGCGGACCAGCCATGGAAACGAAGCCGCTGGTGACGCCGTGTTGCCGCCGCCGGCGGACACGGGCCAACCCGGGGCCACTGCGGTGCAGCCTGCAGGCCCGGATGCAGCGGCTGTAGCTTACGGAGCCTCGCCGCCGCCGGCGGGAGGCCTACAAACGCTGAGCACGGGCCGAGGTGCAGCTGCCGGCCCCGCCGTGTCACCGCCGACGGCGGACACTGGCCAGATTGGGTGCACCGCAGCGCAGTCTACCAGGCCGGCTGCCGCCTACGGAGCCTCGCCGCCGCCGGCGGGAGGCCTACCCACGCGGACCAGGGACGGAGGTACAGCCGCCGGCTACGCCGTGTCGCCGCTGCCGGGGGACACCAGCCAAGCCGACTGTTGTGCGGCACAGCCCACCGAGCTGAGTAAGACTACTGACGTCTACGGAGCCTCGCCGCCGCCGGCGGGAGGCATGCCAACTCGAAGCACGGATGGGGGCCCAGCCGCCAGCACCGCCGAGTCGCCGCCGCCGGCGGGCACCGGCCAAGCCGGCTGTAGTCATGCGGCGCAGCCTACCGAGCTGGCTGACGCCTACGGAGCCTCGCCGCCGCCGGCGGGAGGCCTGCCAGTACGGAGTGGGGACGGAGACCCGCCCGAACAAATGGTAGCGGCTCACGCCGCCGCGCAGCTCCTCCATACGCCGCAGAGATGCGTGTCCGCCGGTGACAAGTCCGACCGGCGCGGTGACACGAACCTCGGTGACACCACCCTCCACTCGGTCGAGGTGGTGGATGACCTGCTCGGTCCGACCGTCGATGACGAGGTGTGGGAGGACGCTGAGGACCCGCTTCACGCAGCTGCCGTCGCAGCTATGCTCGCTGAGCGGGATACGGAGTGCGACTCGCGTCTGCCGCCGCTCGTGGCCCCGAGTCTAAGGGTGACCAGAGCCGCCGCTGACCGCGACCCGTGGCCGCTACCGACACCAGAGCGACGCCTGCCGCGGACCTCCCCGTGCGACGGCGGGCGCGTCCGCTGCAAGAAGCGCCCGAGACGCCGCGGAAGAGAGCGAAGGCGCCGCCGTCTGCACCGCGCTGCGGTGGCCTTGTGCGCCCGGACCCCGGAGGGTCCGCTGTGGCGCCTTGGAGTGAAGACGATGTGATCGTCTTGGGGGGAGGTGTTGTATTATGGTCCAACCCCCGCACGGCTGCTGGCCGCGCCTGCGCGCGCCCCTGCCGCCGCCACCGCTGGCCGCCCCGGCTCCGTGCCTGTGAGCGCCTCTGCCGCCGCCAGCTGACGGTGCGCGCCGAGCGGCATGACTGGCGCGGGCGACGAGGCGCGGCGCTCGCCATACTTGTTTCTCTTTTGGACACTCTTTCGGCCTGAACGTATCGCAGTATAATAAATCGCGTTTTCCATTGATTGTGTGCTCTTTCACTTGAAACGAACCAAAACATAACAGTATGGGTTCGGTTTTTGACAAATAACTTCACAAAAATGGCGGCAGAACCGTGATTTGAACAGCATCGTGTTCGCCTTGCTCAGGCGCGTCGAATGTTATAGTTTTTGTTTGGGTGAGGTCAACTTTAGGTGTTGACCTCAGGTCACGGTCAGGTCAGAGCCCCCTAATCCACGAACTCGGTTGGAGAAGGTCATGTCGCATGTCATTCGATTTAGCATGTCTTCGCGAGCCCATCGGTGGCTGTCCCGACCCGCTAGCTTAATTTGATCAGGAGTTATTGACGAAAAACTCTTATGACCATAGTGACGTCATAAATGACGTCACGCAAGGCAAAAATGAAGCATCAATACTTGCAAGGAGCGCATGAAAGCACGATTCCGTGTGGTTGATATAGTTTAAGATCGTTCCCGGTGCCAAAATAGCTTTTTTATTTTTCCCCGTTGACTTATGCATAATGGCGAGGTCACGAAACTGACCTGACCTCATGTTACCTTTAGGAAAAATCCGAGATATACAAGTTGTGAGACCTCTAATGGATACTAGATCATGTAAATTTCATCTCCCTGTAAAAGCTCCTCTGGCACTGAGGGCGTTCCGAAGTTGCGACATCTGAAGACCGTGCATAGGTTCACTAATGACGTCAGTGAGGTCAGTGAGCTGATCTGACCCGAAAATGCGGTTGGCGTCAAAAGATCCGGCTGGAATCAAATATCAGGTATGCCAAGTTTCAGCTTTCCATCGCCAGCGTGTTCGGAGCTGTCGCGAAAAAAAAAAACGCCGCCCCCCCCCCTCGGCCGGAAAGGGGTAATGTGCGATCTGAGGGTGCAGTGGATGGATTGTAAACGTTTATTTTTTAATTTATCGATTCAGAAACCTCACCTCACCTCAATGCCGTACACACACGATCAGACCTTCACTGGCTTGTGCGATAACTAAATGGAAGGAGTGGGAGTAGCTGAGGGCTCCACATGAAATTAAAACTGAGTGTGGGAATCCCACATCTACTTTTTTGGCCTACCATCGATTTCCTTTATCAGTGCTGTGTACCTGATTGTGATAGCCGATCGTGTATGATTTAATGTCATTTAATGTTTATACGCGTTTTTACCCGAGACCGTGGGTTCGATTACATGCTGAATTGCTGCAGCTACTGCATCGGTTATACAGACCATACGCGGTGGCCGGTGGGACCCATCTGATCACGGGATGCAGATGCGAGACCAGGGCCACCCGCCTATGCCCCTCGGTCACGGAACAGAACTGGTTTGTACTGGGGATCAGCCAGCCCGAGCAGTCCTTGCAAAACTGCCCCTCTAAATTTATGGGTCATCTCCGCCCTCCATCTACACTACAGCTCTCGTCTCCGCCCTGTGGTCCCGCGGTGCCGGTCCCTCGGCGGCAGAGCTCTGAGCGGGGTGTGTGCGGTGATGTCAGCGGGTATGCGTCCTGTGACGTCACTGAGTGCAGATGCAGGTGCGGGCCGGGTAATGGATCAGACTGAGAGGGGAGCGGCACGCCACTGTACCCCTGCAGCGACCAGCGGTGGCAGGGACGGCGGCCGTGCGTGCAGGCGGCCGCACGCACCGCTCTTCAAATATTTGATATTCAGGTTTCATCTGAATTCCACAATAACTGAAGCTAATAAAGTAATAAGGTTGCTATGTTCTCCGTCACCTTTGCAGGTGAAGGGCAATCCCTTGTGCACCGCTGCTACCCCCGCAATTAGCATCTGCCTAATCCTTCGTGCACGCGCGCCCCTTCCCCCTCCTCCCCGCCTCGTCCAGTGAACGAAGCCCTGGAGAGCGGTATGTACCCCACGGCTCCCCGTCCACCCCCTAACCCACCGCCCCCCCCCCCTGCCCAACCACCCGTGCAGTGGGCGCACCCACTGCTCACTGCGGCACATAGCCCAGTGGCCGGACGGGTGCCAAGCCCGGCGTCTGCCGAGCGCTCTCCTGTCGCCAGCAGTAGTCGGACGCTGGTGCAATGTCTGGCAGGCCATCGCTCCCGTTGGGAAATGTGTGGCGAAGCTGCAGGCGCATGCAGAACATGCATGTGTGTTAGTCAGATGTCTCAGATGGACCTTTGCTGGCGTCGGTTTGAAAGCATTCTCCGAGCGCTAAGCCGCCACAAATCGGACTATCGTTTGCGATTGTGCAGTATCGGTGGACGAATATCGGTTTCCAAAGCGACATTGCAATAGTGAACGGTGCCTGTAAATTGTAATCCATCTCAGTACTGTAGGTAGTTGCTTTGCCACAATGCTCACGATGATGCTCAGCTGAGCAGGGATTTGCTGGAGACAAGCGGACCATTTTGAAAATGTTTGGTAATTATCAAATGAGGTTCTTTTATTAGTACCTACGCATGGGGTGATTCGGAGACATATTTTAAAGTAAGTTCAACGTGCACATCGCTGAACAAAGTTCGCCTTTTAAAGACTGAAATAGGCGGATGCTGACGTCCATAAGTGGACGTTATGAGCACTTCATTTTTTTTTTTTTTGCAGTAAGCATGCCAATTTTGAATCATAAAATGCACGGACTCTCCCTTTTACAAAAGTTGTAGCAGTTTTTGAGCAAATAATTAGAAGGTAAGCATTTCTTATCGCACTTCTGAACGGGCACACAATGAATAAGCACATCGCAAGTAAGTCTCGAGTAAAGCGGCGATTGTTTTTCCTTTCACTCAAACATTCGTAGAAGGGATTGAATTAGTAGTCCGTCTTTGCGGCTAGCATTTGCTGGCGCTTAGATAAGCATGGGTCGATTCGAACAACTGATTCATTCTACACCACCACTTGTAACCAATTATTTCGTTATAAAACACTTATATAAAATACGAAAGGCTCATTCCAAACACGAATGAGCTGACAAATATGATATGGGTGACAGAAAGCTAATACATAATAATAATAAGTTATTTAAACAACCTTCGTCGATCTTTGCGAAATGTTGTTGCGCTGCGCTGATCGATGTTTTACTTTTAATTATGCTGGCAACCGTCCGACTACCAACGGCAACCGGTCCGGAGATATAAGCACTCGGGTGCGTAATGTGTATGTTTAAACAGGGAAGTTAACGATTTTCTCTGTATAGCTGCCTTTCATAATTGCCCCTCCCGTTTGTTACAGGTCCGACCGTCGGCGGCTGAAGCACCTGCGTCTCTGCGTATCAGCGTTACCCATCGGCATGGTCTCGGCCGTCGCTCTGTCGGTGCTGGCGCTCACCCTTTGCGCCGCGTCGGCCGCGTCGCTTCAGCCAGCTCAGGTATACATCATGCTGCACACATCGCTACTCAAGTCAGATGCCTTATACCATCAAAGCATAGTCCCACGCGCTCTTTAGGTATTTGCCAACGCTTTTATAAATAAGCATAATTTATCGCGCCACGTCGGTTAACTGATCTGACTCTGACCAATTATCCAGGATGCATGACCAACTAGGTATCAAAGACATCTGACCAAATGTCCAGAGTATCTGACTAAGTATCCAGGGCCCAATCTTACCAATGCCGTGAATAGGCAAAATGCCGTGAATGGAGCCCATTCACGGCAACGGCATATTACCAATGCCGTGGATAGCTATTCACGCCATCTCATTCACGGCATGCGGTCGATGTTTATCCACGGCATTTTGGCAGTGCTTTAAAGGAAACAGTTCACTTTCCTGAAATTAGTACCTATTTTGCTATGAATTTACGATTTTTTATGCTCAAAATGATCAGAAAATAAAATAAAACCTTTTTGTAAAAACAATTATTTTCTATATTTTAATATAGCACGAACTATATTCTACGTAAAATAATGTTTGACGCGGAAGCTTATTACGCGTTGACCAATCATATTGCGTAGTTCAAACCTACGCATGCTGCATTAGCTGTAAGCAGCATGCTGATTGGCTGACGATGACGTGGCTGCATTCCTGTGCAAGGCACACATTCCTCTGCAAGGCACTCTTTTCGGAACGAGAAATGGAATATCTTCGTCTAGGGTGATCGTTGAGCCGTAAAAGCTCCTGATTTGTGCTAGTCTCAGCTCAAGCTACGAAACTGCTATTCCAGTTCAAAATCCCATGTTAAAAGTGAACTATTTCCTTTAACATGGGCAGTGGCACAAGCTGCCGCGAGAGCGGCAGAACAAACGCAAATAATCAGCTGTTTGCGCTGTCGGTGGCCGTTCCATTCACGCCACCTTTTAGTGCCGTGAATGGCGGGTGTTGTGAAAGGGATAGGTCGCTGGGAGGATGTTACTATGCATTACAGTGGCGTATCTAGGATTTCTCTCAGGGGGGATCCGCAGTCAAAAGGGCCCTTGACTGACTGGGTTGAAAGGGCCCTTAAGTGGCAAAAGGGCCCTTGAAGCCTGAGTTGAAAGGGCGTTAGCCCGCGCCCCGTAAGGGGGGGGGGGGGCGAAACGGCCCCCTGTCCTCTTCCGTAGCTATCTCCTAAATGACTGCAGATATCGCCACCAAACTTTCAGGACCTCTCCGGGCATCCATTTTACACATTGTGACCTTTTTCCAGAGGCTATGATAGGTTGGCCGCAAATACGTCAGAATGACGTCATGTTCTGCCATTTTCGACCCAAAAAAGGTTTCGCAGGAAGAGCTATCAGGCCTACAGAGCTGTAGGAACATGAAAATGTTCCGATATAAAAAGTGTACAATTAACAGGCTTAGGTCAAATCTGAGCACAGTTTACAGAAAGTGCGTTAAAAGAGCTTTGTTTGTTTTGTTGCGTTGGACCCAGGCCCTTTCGGCTTTCGGTCTGACAGGCCATTTCAGGGCCGGAGGGATGATAGGAATTGAGGGAGACATTGGTCTGGGCGGGCACCTTGGTGAGTCACTGGGGCTGAGCCTGTCCAACAGGACAGGCCGACCAGCCTCTCAAGTGCTCACTGCACCCGGTTATGAGTGTGCTTCCTTGGGAGCTGCAGTGCGCTCCAATGGGAGCCGCCCGCATGGAATAAAGTTGCCCGTCCAGGTCCAGCCCGGATCAGGGGTTGCGGCATGGAGGAGAAGGATTTGAATGTCCTGAGGATGGAAACGGCGAAAGGGGTGTTAAAAGAGCTATTAACTACGCTTTTCCCCGGTACTGTAGCTCTATTCATTTACGAATCATGCGGTGGTTTGTTGAAAATTGTCGAAATTGGACCTGAAAATTGGCGAAATTTAACCTTGGATGACCTATGTGAACTGAATTTTGAACTGATCTAAAAAGTGACAGACGTAATTTCGTCATTATTGTTTGCTTGCGTCCCTTCGAACACTGCCTTAGGCGTGTTGGTACGTGGCTCAGAAGCCGAGTTATAGATGCAGGGGTGCGGAGCCGGAGCTGGAGCCGGAGGAGCCGCCGGTGCCGGCATATTTTGCCTGGAGCCGGAGCCGGAGCCGGAGCCGTGAAACAATATAGCCCGGAGCCGGAGCCGGAGCGGTAAAAAAGGCGGCGACTCCGGCTTTTTTTTTAAGAGGAAAACATTATTGACCTAGTTCGGTTTCACAGTGCCTGCAAGGCAGTAAAATATGTGGTATTCAAAATAGCCTTGTTATGCAAATACAGAAACAACGTGAACCAATCCTTCATCTTTTCTTTTCCACCCGTATTTATTTGTATAAAGGATAAACTGAGTACTGGAGTCGAAGCCGGAGCCGGAGCCGGAGCCGATTTTTTTTTCTCCGGAGCCGGAGCCGGAGCCGTCTGAAATTTCCACGCCTCCGCATCCCTGGTTAGAAGGACCCTGGCCGGGCGGGGGGGGGGGCGTGGGTGCCACCACATCGTTTTTTTGCGACAGCTCGGAACACGTCGGCAGGCAACAGAGAGCCAAAACTGGGCATAGCTTCCTGACCTTTGATGCAAACCGGGCCTTGTGACGCCCGCATTTTCACGGAGGGCCTCTGGTCGTCTTAAGGACCCTCTGTTACCCTCAGAGGGACCCTCTGATGGCCTCTGAAGACCATCACTGGCCTCAAAGGGTCCTCTAGTGGCCTCCATGGACCTTCTGGGTACCTGAAAGGTCCCTCTGTTTTCTCTCCAGGGGCCCTTTTTACCTCAAAAGGTTCTCTTTTACTTCAAATGACCGTATGTTGGTCTAATACATAAGGCCCCTAGTGACCTAAAATAGCCCTCATATCATCTAAGGTGACCCCCTGTTTGCCTTAGAAAAGAGGTGCCTCCGGGTGCCTGAGAGGCCCTGTTTGTGTCCCAAAGGGTCCTTTGCTGGCCTCATAAGGCCCCTAGTTGACCTAAAAAGTCCTCTGATTGTCCAAGGGTCCTCTGTTCGCCTCAGAGGGCCAGCTTTTTCCTCAGAGTGCCTGATGACCTCATAGAGCCCATAGTGGCCTGACATAGCCTTCATATCAGCCCAGAGGGCCCTCTGTTGCAAGGCTCAAGTGGCCTTCTCAGAGGGCTCCGACTGCCCTGTGACTGACAATTGTCCACTCTTATCCCTCTTTTGGGTGACCTTTTCCCCCTCTGACACCCAAGCCAAAATACAATTTTGGGACACTGACTCCGAGGGCCAGTTGATTTTCAGAGGGCCCTCTTTGAGGTGGATGTGAGGGCCCTCTGTTCGCCTCAGAGGGCCCTCTGGTGGCTTCAGACTTCAGAGGACCCTATTTTGGCATCAGAGGGCGCCTCTCTGTGGCATCAGAGGGCCCTCGGAGGCCTCAAATGGCCCTATTACATCTCAGAGAGCTGTCTTTGACCTCAGAGGGATCTTTGTTACTTCTTTGTGGTGTCTAAGGGGGCCCTCTGGCCTTTGTTCGCCTCAATGAGCCTTAAGGGGTACTCCGATGACTTCCAAGGACCCTCTTTGATCTCAGAGGGCCTAAACCTCATAGGGCTCATGATGGTCTGACATAGCCTCATATCACCTCAAAAGGCCCTCCAGTGGCCTCAGAGGGCACTTTGTGACCTTTGAAGGCCCTCCATTCGCCTTAGAGGGCCCTCTTTGATCTCTTTGATCTCTTCGATCTCAGAGGGCCCTTTGTGCACCTCAGAGGGCCCTTTGGTGGCCTCCAGGGACCATCTTTGATCTAAGAGGGCCGTCTGGTGGCCTCATAGGCCATAGGGTACCTTGTGGCCTGACATTGACCCTCAGAGGACCTTCTGTTCGTCTTAAGGGCCCTCTGCTGGTCTTAGAGGGCCCTTTGTGTGCCTGAGAGGGACCTCTATGTACCTGAGAGGGCCCTCTGTGTGCCTGAGAGGGCCCTCTGTGTGCCTGAGAGGGCCCTATGTGTGCCTGAGAGGGCCCTCTGTGAGCCTGAGAGGGCCCTCTGTGTGCCTGAGAGGGCCCTCTGTGTGCCTGAAAGGGCCCTCTGTTTGCCTGAGAGGGCCCTCTGTGTGCCTGAGAGGACCCTCTGTGAGCCTGGGAGGGCCCTCTGTGTGCCTGAGAGGACCCTCTGTGTGCCTGAGAGGGCCCTCTGTGTGCCTGAGAGGGCCCTATGTGTGCCTGAGAGGGCCCTCTGTGAGCCTGAGAGGGCCCTCTGTGTGCCTGAGAGGGCCCTCTGTGTGCCTGAAAGGGCCCTCTGTTTGCCTGAGAGGGCCCTCTGTGTGCCTGAGAGGACCCTCTGTGAGCCTGAGAGGGCCCTCTGTGTACCTGAGAGGTCCCTATGTGTACCTGAGAGCCGAGAGGGCCCTCTGTGTACCTGAGAGGGCCCTCTGTGTGCCCGAGAGGGCTCTCTGTGTGCCTGAGAGGGCCCTCTGTATCCTTCACAAGGTCCCTCATTGGCCTAAATGTGTCCTCTAATAATCCTCAAAAGAGTTCTACAATACTTTTTCTTTTAGCGAATAAAATGGGAAGTGGTCAAAAGGGCCCTTGAAGTCATTTCAATTTTTTCCGTGTTATAAAAAAAAACTTTTTTTTCTAGGCTCCAGGGGGGATCCTAGGACCCCCAGGGTCCCCCCTTGGATACGCCACTGCTATGCAATACTTGACACTATTATTTTTTTTAAAGTAAAGAATTCTTCATATAATGCCCTTGACATCTTAGAGCGACGATTACACGCATAGTGATTATTTCAAAAACATTATTATTATTATTATTATTATTATTATGTCAAACATCCACCAACCACAGAACAGTGGGCATTACGGTGGCATAGCACAAACAGACGCACACATGAATACAATTTCACACATATTCATATATGAACACATAATCGACTAACACAATATTCGGCGCAGTGTGAAGCAATCCATACGCGGAGATATAAATAACCATGGCCCAATCTTATAAACGCCGTGAAATGGATATGGCAGCACTCTAAG